GGGGGGGGGGGGCTGCTCAATATAACAGAACAGACAGACTGACAGGGGGGAGGCTGCTTAATACAACAGAACAGACAGACAGACTGAAGGGGGGGGGATGCTGCTCAATTCAACAGAACAGAAAGACAGACTGAAGGTGTGTGTGTGTGGGGGGGGGTGCTCAATACAACAGAACAGACAGACAGACTGACAGGGGGGAGGCTGCTCATTACAACAGAACAGACAAACATACTGACAGGGCTGCTCATTACAACAGAACAGACAGACAGATTGATGGAGGGAGGGAGGCTTCTCATTACAACAGAACAGACAGACAGACTGACATTGGGGGCTGCTCGTAACAACAGAACAGACAGACAAACATGGGGGTTGCTAATTACAACAGAACAGACAGACAGAAAGACAAACTGACAGGGGGGAGGGGCTGCTCAATACAAAAGAACACACAGACAGACTGACAGGTTGGGGTGGGGGGTGGGGGGTGCTGCTCAATATGAATTAACGCTAAATAGCTGACCTGGCAGAAAGAGATAAACATAAGCAGGATAACTGACCCTATGCAAGCCAGATTCCCAAATTGATATTTGCCTGTAAATATAACTGTACAAAGAAGATTATAGATGGACATGTACATACTGACAGTTTATATAACTACAGGAAATTGTTTAATACTCTTTGTTTTTTGTATACTTCAGGTTGGAAGTGTATCCTACATACCTAATACTGCAGATACTTGGCGGCCTCTATGCACCAGTATGTACATTTTGATTGAGAAAATTTACACTTTTTATATACAGTAAAACCTCGTTATACCGCAACCTTCTGTCCTCTGTGATTTTGGCTGTATAATGAGTTTAGCGTTTTGAACATGTTTTTAGCTCGTCTATTGAAAGAATAGGGGGGCTATTCTTTCATGTATTGTATAATATGGTTACAGCAATTGCTGGGAGGTTCCTAAGCAACAAAATGGACCATATTTGCTCATTATTGGTCCAAAACACAAGTTTTTAGCTCACCTGTCCGAAAGGCAAGTAAGCTTATGTCATGGTGCGGCATCCGTCAATTGCCCGGCCTCCGTCAACTTTTCCTTAAACAACTTCTTCTGAAGAACAAACAGGCATAGAACCATGATATTTGAAGGAAAGCTTCGTTACTAGGGGCCCGACAAAGTTTGAGAACGAAAATGACATTGACCTACTTTCAAGGACTCAGGGGTCAAAATGTGTCAAACACTTCAAACGACTTCTTCCGAAGAACTGAGAATATAGAGTCTTCGAATTTGGCTGGTATCTTCCTGGGATAGAGCCCAACAAAGTTTAAGAACGAAAATGACTTTGACCTTATTTCAAGGTCACAGCTGTCAAATATGTCAAATGCTTAAAACAACTACTTCTGAAGAACTAAAAGGTATAGAATCTTCATATTTGGCTGTTGACTTCCTGAGATAGAGCCCGACAAAGTCTAAGAATGAAAATGACTTTGACCTACTTTCAAGGTCACATCAGTCAAATATGTCAAATGCTTCAAACCTCTTCTTCTGAATAACTAAAATGTATAAAACCCTCATATTTCGCTGTTGGCTTCCTGAGATAGAGCCCGACAAAGTCTAAGAATGAAAATGACTTTGACGTACTTTCAAGGTCACAGGTGTCAAATATGTCAAAAACATTGAACGACTTCTGATGAATAATAGAAAGGTATATATACAATTATAATATTTGGCTGGTGGCTTCCTGGGATAGAGCTCACCAAAGTTTGCAAATGAAAATGACCTCAACCTACTTTAAAGGTCACAGAGGTCAACAACATTTCTAAGGGTTTGTTCTGAAGAACCAAAAGGAATGGATTCATAAGATTTGGCCGGTAGCTTTTTGGGATAGAGCTTACAAAGTTTGAGAAGGAAAATGACATTGACCTACTTACAAGGTCACGGGGAAAAATATGTTAAACAACTTCTGAAGAACAACCAAAAAGCATAGAATCTTATAATAATATTTGGCTGGTAGTTTCAACAGATGGAGCCGACGAAGTTTGCGAGGGAAATATTTGTAGTGCAATATAATATTTAATGAGAATATTTTGCTATGACTGCTTAATTATTCAGGTGAGCGAGTTTGGAATTGGTTAAAGTTTTTTGGTGAGTTCTACAGGTTAGAGTTTTACGACAAGTTCTAATTCTTTTGAAACTACTGGGCAGATTTCAACCAAATTTGGGAGGAAGCACCTTTTGGGAATGGGATTCAAAATTGTACAAATGAATTCCCTAACCCCCAGGGGACAGGTTGGCCCCAGGTGGGCGGGGCCAAAAGGGGTAAATTTGACAGTATGCCTTTAAACGATATCTCCTCCTACACTATTTGGCAGATTTTAACCAAATTTAACGGGGAGCATCTTTAGGGGAAGGGGATTCAAGATTGTACAAATAAAGTCCCTGACCCCTAGGGGACAGATTGGCGGGGTCAAAATCCTTGTTCTTCTGTAGGAATGAAAGAATTTGGTCCATATTTGGTCTGAAGCATCCTTGGGTGAAGAGAAACCAGTTTTGAATAAACTGTGGGTCTGGCCCCCCAGGGGCCTTAGGGGAGGGCCCAATAGGGGAAACATAGCAAATTATTCTTTAAAATCCTTCTTATTCTGTCGGAATGAAAGGATGTGGTCCATATTTTTTGTGGAGTATCCTTGGGTAAAGGGAAACCAATTTTGTATAAACGGTGTGTCTAACCCAACTAGAAGCAAAGAGGCGGGGCCCAATAGGGGAATTAGAGGTAACACCTTTAAAATCCTTCTTCTACCATAGGAATTAAGGGATTTTATCCTAATTTAGTCTGGAGCATCAATGGGCTAAGGGGACTCAATTTTGTATAAGCAGTGGGTGTGGTCTCCCAGGGGGCAGAAGGGTGGGGACCAATAGGAGAAATAGAGGTAAAACCTTTAAAATCCTTCTTCGACCATCGGGATTAAGAGATTTTATCCTTATTTAGTCTGGAGCATCCTTGGGCCAAGGCGACTTGATTTTGTATAAATAGTGGGTATGACCCCCCCCCCTAGAGGCCTAGGGGGGGGGCTCTGTTTGAAGTTTGTTCTCGCTATATCTCAAGTACTGGATGGATCTTTCTGAAATTTCATGGACTATGTACTTACAGCACCTACCATTGAGTGCTATATCTTTACTTCATACCAATTATTTTAAACACATTCAGGTGAGCTATACAGGCCCTCTGGGCCTCTTGTTCTAAACAACACCTATTTTAAACCTCTTCTCAAGTTCCACCAGTGGGATTGAGCTGAAACTTGCCTGAAGTGAGCCTGAGATGGTCCTGACCAAGTGTTGTTATTTTTCAGGTCGGTCCAAAATCCAAGAGGGCCACCATGGCCGCCATCTTAAAAAAACACATTTTAAACTTCTTCTCCAGTTCCACTGGTGCCATTGAGCTAAACATTGGTGGGGATGTTTAGGAAAGGAAGCCGACAAAGTGTTGTTATTTTTCAGCCCCGTCAATACTTCAATATGGCAGCCATGGTGGCCATTTTGTAACATGATTGCACAATCGTGGTTTTCCTAATTATAAACAACAATTTTTCGGGTCAGTCCAAAATCCAAGATGGTCGCCATCTTAAAAAAATAATATTAAAAATCTTCTCCACTTCCACTGGTGCCATTGAGCTAAAAATTGGTGCGGATGGTAAGGAAAGGAAGCCGATCTCGACAAAGTGTTGTTATTTTTCAGCCCTGTCAAAACTTCAACATGGCAGCCATGCATGGTGGCCATTTTGTAACATGTCATATACGCATGCAAGTAATGAGGCGAGAGAAATAACTGTTACTTAATCTGACCTTACTCATGCAAGTAGAACAGCAAGAAAGGTAACTCTTACTTAATCTTATATTTCACTTTTACGAGTAGTCTTGCCCCACCACCACCACAAATTTGGCCAATGAAGTGAAAAGCCCATCAAATAGTTGATCTTGAGTCAGTTGGAAGGTCACTTGTTTGAGAGAATACCATGTGAGTGATACAGGTCCTTTTGGTCTCTTGTTTATCTTGTTACAGTTACATTTTGAGCAAAATTTATATTCAAAATTACTCAATGTGTCTTCATAGATATTGTTTAGGATTCCAGTAATATAGAGGTTCCCCAGCGAGTAATGCTTGATTATCCTGATTATCTAACTCAAGTTAGTTAATCTTCAAATTGTATAAAGACACAAGGTTTACCGAGTGTCTTTTACAATTTGAAAATTAACTAACAAGAGTTTCGGGATCTGTTTCTCCCATAACGTTCATTATTTTATCTGAAAAACCACATTTTTCCCCTGGAAAATATGTTATGTGTGTTGCCGATGGGGGAAACAATTGCCATGGACCATGACGTCACAATGGAAAATGACATCGAAAAGCATTGTTACACGACGTCATAAATTAAAGATTGATCGATGAAATCACGTCCAGGGTGTTACCTACTAGTGGGTAACCAAACATGTTTACCAACTCCTAGCAGGTTTATCCAGTGAGTAATGAGTGAGGAAACCTACAGTGGTTGTGGGAGAAAACAAGTTTGGTAACAACTGATATATCTTCTGAACCTTGTATACACACCCTGAAGCTCGACTGTATTGTTACACTTTTTCTGTTGTAGAAACTGGGGGCTGTCTGTGGCCTGATCTGGATAGCCGGAAGAGTGGCCTACGCCTTGGGATATTATACTGGGGGTAAGGTTGATCTACATCACGATTTATAAAACAGGGTTTGGTACTAAGCAAAATCTTTACTTTACCTGCATGATGTTGTTGATTAAAAAATATGACTGTAAACTCTTCTATAAGACAAGTACAGGTACATGCTCATTGAATATTTATGTAGAGTGTAAACTGTGTTAACTAGATAGAGATTGTATTTATGTAGAGTGTATGCTGTGTTAACTAGATAGAGATTGTATTTATGTAGAGTGTATGCTGTGTTAACTAGATAGAGATTGTATTTATGTAGAGTGTATGCTGTGTTAACTAGATAGAGATTGTATTTATGTAGAGTGTATGCTGTGTTAACTAGATAGAGATTGTATTTATGTAGAGTGTATGCTGTGTTAACTAGATAGAGATTGTATTTATGTAGAGTGTATGCTGTGTTAACTAGATAGAGATTGTATTTATGTAGAGTGTATGCTGTGTTAACTAGATAGAGATTGTATTTATGTAGAGTGTATGCTGTGTTAACTAGATAGAGATTGTATTTATGTAGAGTGTATGCTGTGTTAACTAGATAGAGATTGTATTTATGTAGAGTGTATGCTGTGTTAACTAGATAGAGATTGTATTTATGTAGGGTGTATACTGTGTTAACTAGATAGAGATTGTATTTATGTAGGGTGTATACTGTGTTAACTAGATAGAGATTGTATTTATGTAGGGTGTATACTGTGTTAACTAGATAGAGATTGTATTTATGTAGGGTGTATACTGTGTTAACTAGATAGAGATTGTATTTATGTAGGGTGTATACTGTGTTAACTAGATAGAGATTGTATTTATGTAGGGTGTATACTGTGTTAACTAGATAGAGATTGTATTTATGTAGGGTGTATACTGTGTTAACTAGATAGAGATTGTATTTATGTAGGGTGTATACTGTGTTAACTAGATAGAGATTGTATTTATGTAGGGTGTATACTGTGTTAACTAGATAGAGATTGTATTTATGTAGGGTGTATACTGTGTTAACTAGATAGAGATTGTATTTATGTAGGGTGTATACTGTGTTAACTAGATAGAGATTGTATTTATGTAGGGTGTATACTGTGTTAACTAGATAGAGATTGTATTTATGTAGGGTGTATACTGTGTTAACTAGATAGAGATTGTATTTATGTAGGGTGTATACTGTGTTAACTAGATAGAGATTGTATTTATGTAGGGTGTATACTGTGTTAACTAGATAGAGATTGTATTTATGTAGGGTGTATACTGTGTTAACTAGATAGAGATTGTATTTATGTAGGGTGTATACTGTGTTAACTAGATAGAGATTGTATTTATGTAGGGTGTATACTGTGTTAACTAGATAGAGATTGTATTTATGTAGGGTGTATACTGTGTTAACTAGATAGAGATTGTATTTATGTAGGGTGTATACTGTGTTAACTAGATAGAGATTGTATTTATGTAGGGTGTATACTGTGTTAACTAGATAGAGATTGTATTTATGTAGAGTGTATACTGTGTTAACTAGATAGAGATTGTATTTATGTAGAGCATACTGTGTTAACTAGATAGAGATTGTATTTATGTAGGGTGAATACTGTGTTAACTAGATAGAGATTGTATTTATCTAGAGTGTATACTGTGTTAACTAGATTGAGATTGTATTTATGTAGGGTGTATACTGTGTTAACTAGATTGAGATTGTATTTATGTAGTGTGTATACTGTGTTAACTAGATAGAGATTGTATTTATGTACAGTGTATACTGTGTTAACTAGATAGAGATTGTATTTATGTAGAGTGTATACTGTGTTAACTAGATAGAGATTGTATTTATGTAGAGCATATTGTGTTAATAAAAGATCATATTTTTGCTTGTGACAAATGGAATTTACCCTTCTAACTATGGGATAATCTTTGTTAATTGGTAATTAGTGAACATCATTAGGTACTAACAGTTTTATCAGTCTGAATGATCAATTCCGATAAAAAGATGACAGAAAACCTTCTTTTTTTTTCAGACCCTGAGAAGAGGAAGTGGGGGGCCTTTGGTTACATAGGCCTGTTGACATTACTAGTCTGCGCAGTAATGTTTGGCTTATCACTTCTTGGCCTCTTCTAATCTTCTTCTGTGGAAACTTCACCTGTGAAACACTTTTCTGCAGCAGATTTTTTAGAAAAGAAGTGCTTCTGAGTATCGAAATAGAAAACATGGATGATTTTTTATGCCCATTTGTAACTAAAATTAAGATAATCAGATTTCTATTCACTTTAATAGTCTTCACCACTTGTATATTCGTTAATGTATACTGTATTACTCAGGTAAAAAGTTTGAGTGGAGGACTGACAGTGTCCTTTGGAGGACTGACAGTGTCTTGTGGAGGACTGACAGTGTTTTGTGGAGGACTGACAGTGTCCTTTGGAGGACTGACAGTGTCCTGTGTTGGACTGACAGTGTCCTTTGGAGGACTGACAGTGTCTTGTGGAGGACTGACATTGTCCTGTGTTGGACTGACAGTGTCCTTTGGAGGTCTGACAGTGTCTTGTGGAGGTCTGACAGAGTCCTTTGTTGGACTGACAGTGTTTTGTGGGGGACTGACAGTGTCTTGTGAGGACTGACAGTGTCTTTGGGGGGACTGGCAGTGTCCTGTGTTGGACTGAAAGTGTCCGTTGAGGACTGACAGTGTCCAGTGTTGGACTGACAGTGTCCGTGGAGGACTGACAATGTCCGTTGAGGACTGACAGTGTCCAGTGTTGGACTGACAGTGTCTTTTGGAGGACTGACAGTGTCCTATGGAGGACTGACAATGTTCTGTGGAGGACTGACAGTGTCGTGTGAGGACTGACAGTGTCTTGTGGTGGACTGACAGTGTCCTGTGGGGGACTGACAGTGTCTTGTGGAGGCCTGACAATGTCCTGTGCTGGACTGACAGTGTCCGTGGAGGACTGACAGTGTCTAGTGGAGGACTGACAGTGTCGTGTGAGGACTGACAGTGTCCTGTGTTGGACTGAAAGTGTCCGTTGAGGACTGACAGTGGCTTGGGGAGGACTGACAGTGTTTTGGGGGGGGCTGACAGTGTCTTGTGGAGGCCTGACAGTGTCCTGTGGAGGGCTGACAGTGTCCTTTGGAGGTCTGACAGTGTCTTGTGGAGAACTGACAGTGTTTTGTGGAGGACTGACACTGTCTTGTGAGGACTGACAGGGTCTTGTGGAGGACTGACAATGTCCGTTGAGGACTGACAGTGTCCTATGGGGGACTGACAGTGTCCTGTGGGGGACTGACAGTGTCTTGTGAGGACTGACAGTGTCCTATGGAGGCCTGACAGTGTCCTGTGGAGGGCTGACAGTGTCCTTTGGAGGTCTGACAGTGTCTTGTGGAGGAATGACAGTGTTTTGTGGAGGACTGACACTGTCTTGTGAGGACTGACAGTGTCTTGTTGAGGACTGACAGTGGCTTGTGGAGGACTGACAGTGTCCTGTGTTGGACTGACAGTGTCCGTTGAGGACTGACAGTGTCCTATGGAGGACTGACAGTGTCCTGTGGAGGACTGACAGTGTCTTGTGGAGGACTGACAGGGTCCTGTGTTGGACTGACAGTGTTTTGTGGAGGACTGACAGTGTCCTGTGTTGGACTTACAGTGTCCATGGAGGACTGACAGTGTTTTGTGGAGGACTGACAGCGTCCTGTGTTGGACTGACAGCGTACGTGGAGGACTGACAATGTCCGTTGGGGGCTGGCAGTGTCCTGTGTTGGACTGACAGTGTTTTGTGGAGGACTGACAGCGTCCTGTGTTGGACTGACAGCGTCCGTGGAGGACTGACAATGTCCGTTGAGGACTGACAGTGTCCAGTGTTNTGACAGTGTCTGTGGAGGACTGACAGTGTCTTGTGGAGGACTGACAGTGTCCTGTGTTAGACTGACTTTGTCCGTGGAGGACTGACAGTGTCCGTTGAGGACTGGCAATGTCCTGTGGAGGACTGACAGTGTCCTTGTTGGACTGACAGTGTCCGTGGAGGACTGACAGTGTCCTGTGGAGGGCTGACAGTGTCCTGTGTTGGACTGACAGTGTCTTGTGGAGGGCTGACAGTGTCCTGTGTTAGACTGACTTTGTCCGTGGAGGACTGACAGTGTCCGTTGAGGATTGGCAATGTCCTGTGGAGGACTGACAGTGTCCTTGTTGGACTGTCAGTGTCCGTGGAGGACTGACAGTGTCCTGTGGAGGCCTGACAGTGCCCTGTGTTGGACTGACAGTGTCTTGTGGAGGACTGACAATGTCCTGTGGATGACTGACTGTGTCATGTGTTGGACTTACCGTGTCCTGTGTTGGACTGACAGTGTCTTGTGGAGGACTGACAGTGTCCTGTGTTGGACTGACAGTGTCTTGTGGAGGACTGACAATGTCCTTTGGAGGACAGACAATGCCCTGTGGATGACTGACAGTGTCCTGTGTTGGACTGACCGTGTCCCGTGGAGGACTGACAGTGTCCTATTTAGTACTGACAGTGTCCTGTGGAAGACTGTGAGAGGATTAGCAGTATTTTCCCTAGTATGTGTACTGTTTAAACATATTGTCAGTGAATTCACCGAAAGAAATGTCATTAACCATAACATAACAGCTGTCTGTTGTCATTCCTACTGTCTGTTGTCATTCCTACTGTCTGTTGTCATTCCTACTGTCTGTTGTCATTCATACTGTCTGTTGTCATTCCTACTGTCTGTTGTCATTCCCACTGTCTGTTGTCATTCCCACTGTCTGTTGTCATTCATACGGGCTGAGGCCCTTTATCATTTTCAACAGGTTGACATTTTAAAGATAACACAGACTTTATTTCATTATTTGTGTATTTTTTATCATTATCAAAATACATTTTTGTAAAACAAATTGACAATAAATTTCCTCTTTACAAAATGTTTAGCTCCTCTGCTCTTTGGTTAGTAGAGTTTATGCTCTGTCGTTCGTCATCTGTTGATGCGCACATCTTCACTCTACTTTCCTTCAAACTAATTCTTGTGAAGAAGGTCTGGAGTCATGATATTAGGCTAGTAGAGGTGAACCCAACCAATTTTACCAAGAATGTGTCGTTAACTTCAAGTTCTAGAGTGAAGATATTTGGCAGTTTGGTTAGCAATAAAAATGATGTTGACCAACTTCCAAGGTCATAGGGGTCAGTCAAGGAGGTACGGAAGTCTAGTGGTAGGACACTGCGCTCTCCACCAAGGGTGCCGGGTTCCAGTCACGGCACAGCACTGTGTTGTATCCTTGAGCAAGATACTTTACTCCGCTGTTCCAGATTGAATGATTATGTGGTTGGGTAGTGCTAAAATTGTAGAATGCTAGCTGTGAGCGCCGAAATGGCAGCACCGGCTGTATGCTCCCCAGGAAGTTGAGAAAGATATTGGCTGGTTGCAAAGGCCCTATAACCATGGATAAGAATTTGAGAACCGCTTTGAGATGACCTACAAACTCGGTTGTGATAAAGCGGTATATAAGAACCTCAATTTATCATTATTATTATGTCAAAAGATAAAAGGACATATTCTGAAGAACCAGAAAACCCTGTCAGGATATAAGGCTAGTGGCTTTGTTGGATGGAGCCTGACAAAGTTTGTGAAAACAAATGACCTTGCCTACTCTCAAGATCATAGAGGTCTAATGTGTGTAAAAATGTTTAAATTACTTCTTCTAAATTACTGAGAGACCTTGGGTGATATTTGGCAAGTAGCATGCTTTGATAAAGGGCCCCAAGTTGTTAAATAAATTAACTTGCCCTACTTTCATGGTCATGGGTCAAATGTTTTGAACCTTTAACTCATTCACCTCTGAAATTTCATAATGAACTATACCAACCTTTTATTTGGAAGAGTTCAAATGTGTATTCAGGGGTGAATGAGTTAAACAAAATCAGCTGTAGAATCGGGAGACCTGAGCATGAACTTGTGGCCTGTTGCTGCTTAGATGACGATCCCAAGTTATTAACGTTGTTAATGACCTTGATCAACTAAAGGTCACTGTGGTCAAAAGTGTTCAAAAATTTAAAGAATTTCTTCTGAATAACTATTAAACATTAAGGGTTTTAATATTTGGCCTGTACCATGCCTATTCAAACGTTTATAAAATTTGTTCCAGTGAATGACTGACACAATTTCAAGGTCTAAAAGGTCAGATGAGTTCNAGTGATGAGAATGGCGTTGTTCCGAGCTGGCAGAGAGCATGGCGGTAGTGATGAGAATGGCGTTGTTCCGGGATGGCAAAGAACATGGCGGTAGTGATGAATGGCATTGTTCCGCGCTGGCAGAGAACATGGCTGTAGTGATGAGAATTGCGTTGTTGCGGGCTGGCAGAAAGTATGGCGGTAGTGATGAGAATAGTGTTGTTCCGGGCTGGCAGAGAACATGGCTGTAGTGATGAGAATGGCGTTGTTCCGAGCTGGCAGAGAGCATGGCGGTAGTGATGAGAATGGCGTTGTTCCGGGATGGCAAAGAACATGGCGGTAGTGATGAATGGCATTGTTCCGCGCTGGCAGAGAACATGGCTGTAGTGATGATAATGGCGTTGTTCCGGGCTGGCAGAGAGTATGGCGGTAGTGATGAGAATGGTGTTGTTCCGGGCTGGCAAAGAACATGGCGGTAGTGATGAGAATGGCGTTGTTCCGGATCTAGACTGTAGTTGGTCTGGACTGGCGTACACGACGTGGGAGTATGTCCCTGAAATAAGAGAGACAACCTCGTAAAGTAGAACACCCTGGTTTCATGAAACATCTCGGCTTGAAAAAATCTTAAAATCTTATTTTAACAGGGATGTTCATGAAAATGTAAACATTCCCAAGTGGTATAGCGAACTTTGGTTTGTTACGGAAACCTGACAAACAATAAAATCAGAGTATTTTTCTATTTCAGTAAATTTCCTTATTTCCATAAACAGAACAACACATTTTGATTGGTGCCTTGAAGTTTGACTGGACGAAAAATTTGCTACTTTGAACAATTTGCAAGAGAAAAAAAAGGTTTTCCGTCTTTAAATGAGTTTTTGACACACAGATCATGCAGGTCCCAGCTTTTCAGCTGTTGAACTTCATCATTCATCATATGATAAAACTTTTCCCAAACATAGTACAGTCCTGCGTTGTTACCAAATATTTGAAAAACAAAATCCTACTACATGTTGATCAGGTTTGAGACGTCGACAGTACGGTAGCTTAGGTTTGAGACGTCGACAGTACGGTAGCTTAGGTTTGAGACGTCGACAGTACGGTAGCTTAGGTTTGAGACGTCGACAGTACGGTAGCTTAGGTTTGAGACGTCGACAGTACGGTAGCTTAGGTTTGAGACGTCGACAGTACGGTAGCTTAGGTTTGAGACGTCGACAGTACGGTAGCTTAGGTTTGAGACGTCGACAGTACGGTAGCTTAGGTTTGAGACGTCGACAGTACGGTAGCTTAGGTTTGAGACGTCGACAGTACGGTAGCTTAGGTTTGAGACGTCGACAGTACGGTAGCTTAGGTTTGAGACGTCGACAGTGCGGTAGCTTAGGTTTGAGACGTCGACAGTACGCGTACGGTAGCTTAGGTTTGAGACGTCGACAGTACGGTAGCTTAGGTTTGAGATGTCGACAGTACGGTAGCTTCAATCCGGTAGCTTTGACAGTTAAAGAGCTTCTTCGTTTATCCAAAGAATGGACGTTAGAACCACAGGTACTTGATAATTTGTTACAACTATATTTGGACCTAAACTATAAGGTGATCAGAGTAATTTTACATGTTTTAGGTGTTTAGATCGACTTTTGGTAAAAATGACACCCCGATGATCATAAATTTGAGAAGGGAGGAAAGCTCTCGATGTCGAAATGTCGACCCCGCCTAACTTTCTTGCATCAAAAACAACATTTCTAGTTGATCTACTGGAAAATGCTTAATACCGTTGGAAAGATAGATAATTGATCTTTTCAAAACATTCAATATGCACGTAAAATGTATTCTCCTTCCGCGGACATGAACTACGTTTCCTCCAAAAACACACGCCATTTCAGAGTTTCAAAGTTTTTCGCAGTCAGCCTGCCACTTTTTTTAATATTAATGAGGTTGAGGTCAGCGCGTGCTGAAACATGCAGTGTTAGTTGGTTTAGCGAAAAATGTCTGCACTTCGAATTCCAGCCAATCACACCACGCGGCTGACGCCGACCTCGAGCTCATTAATATTAAAAAAAAGTGACAGGCTGACTGCGAAAAACTTTGAAACTCTGAAATGGCGTGTGTTTTTGGAGGAAACTGAATTGATGTCCGCGGAAAGAAAATGATGCAAGAATGTTAGGCGGGTTCGACATTTCGACATCGACAGCTTTCCTCCCTTCTCAAATATATGATTATTGGGGGTGTCATTTTTACCGAAAGTCGATCTAAACACCGTAAACATGTAAAAAATACTCTGAACACCTTAGTCTAGGTCCAAATATAGCTGTAACAAATTATCAGGTCTCTTTGGTTCGAACCAGTTCTACAGTTCGCCTGTATACATTTGCAGGGATATTAATAAAACATACACGCGCGTGTAGGTTTACGAAGGTTAGAGCGGTATATGTCTGAATCTTACCTATCTGTGACGTACATGAATACAGATTACTTACTTATAACTCTGAATCATATTTGTCAGGCCTTGTGCTATAGAAGCCTTCTCATTAACGTCGAAGAATCGCCTGTTTTGCAAAGTGATTTCGCTGACAAGTTTGTCCGTGAGTGTTCTCCTAGCATCCCTCTGGGTCAGTGTGTACACCTGGAGGATAAACGAAAGACCTAGACAGTAACAATAACATAACATACAGACACAGTGCATAATAGGTTTAATCTTTTTATTTTACAATAGTTTTGATACTGAAATCCGGTTGACTGTCTGTCTGCCAGTCCGTACACACACCGTTGTTGGCACTACTCCTCCTACAGTGCTGCACCGAATTGAATGATACTTGGTACACATAACACTAACTTTAAGGACAGGTGAATTAAGTAAATGTATTGAGGTTACCTCCCTAATTGATGAAGCTATGCCACTTCGTATAAAAAAGTTGTTTCCATTCGTCCTTCCAAATTACTGCACCAGATTGAATGATACCCAGTAAACAAGCGTACATTGTCATACAGGTACAGTAAAAGACAAGACACGCCATACAGGTGAAGTAAAGGAGAAAACACCCCATACAGGTGAAGTAAAAGACAAGATACGCCATACAGGTGAAGTAAAGGAGAAAACACCTCATACAGGTGAAGTAAAAGACAAGACACGTCATACAGGTGTAGTAGGAGACAACACACGTCATACTTGTGTAGTAAGAGACAAGACACGTCATACAGGTGTTGTAAGAGACAAGAAACATCATATAGGTGTATTACGAGACAAAACACGTATTACAGGTTTAGTTAGAGACAAGATACGTCAAACAAGTGTAGTAAGAGAAAAGACACGTCATACAAGTGTAGTAAGAGACAAGACACATCATACAGGTGAAGTAAGAGACAAGACACGTCATACAGGTATAGTAAGAGACAAGACACGTCGCACATGTGTAGTAAAAGACAAGACTCGTCATACAGGTAAAGTAAGATACAAGACACGTCATACAGGTATAGTAAGAGACAAGACACGTCATACAGGTATAGTAAGAGAGAAGACACGTCATGCAGGTGTGGTAAGAGACAAGACACATCATACAGGTGAAGTAAGAGACAAGACACGTCATACAGGTGTTGTAAGAGACAAGAAACATCATATAGGTGTATTACGAGACAAAACACGTATTACAGGTGTAGTTAGAGACAAGATACGTCAAACAAGTGTAGTAAGAGAAAAGACACGTCATACAAGTGTAGTAAGAGACAAGACACATCATACAGGTGTAGTAAGAGACAAGACACGTCATACAGGTGTAGTAATAGACAAGACACGTCATACTTGTGTAGTAATAGACAAGTCCTGTCATACATGTGTATTTATAGACATAACACGTCATACATGTGTAGTTATAGACAAGACACGTCATACAGGTGTAGTAATAGACAAGACACGTCATACAGGTATAGTAAGAGACAAGACACGTCATACAGGTATAGTAAGAGACAAGACATGTCATACAGGTGTAGTAAGAGAAAACCCACGTCATACTTGTGTAGTAATAGACAAGTCACGTCATACATGTGTGGTTATAGACATAACGCGTCATACAGGTGTAGTTATAGACATAACGCGTCATACAGGTGTAGTAAGAGACAAGACATGTCATACAAGTGTAGTAATAGACAAGACACGTCATACAGGTGAAGTAAGAGACAAGAAACGTCATACATGTGTAGTAAGAGACAAGGCACGTCATACATGTGTAGTTATAGACAAGACACGTCATACAGGTGTAGTTATAGACAAGACACGTCATACAGGTGTAGTTATAGACAAGACACGTCATACAGGTGTAGTAAGAGACAAGACACGTCATACAGGTGTAGTAAGAGACAAGACACGTCATACAGGTATAGTAAGAGACAAGCTATTTCATTCAAGTGTAGTAAGAGAAAAGACACGTCATACAGGTATAGTAAGAGACAAGACACGTCATACANACGTAATACAGGTGTAGCAAGAGACAAGACACGTCATACAGGTATAGTAAGAGAGAAGACACGTCATGCAGGTGTGGTAAGAGAGAAGACACGTCATACAGGTGAAGTAAGAGACAAGACACGTCATGCAGGTGTGGTAAGAGACAAGACACGTCATACAGGTGTAGTAACAGACATAACACGTCATACATGTGTTGTAAGAGACAAGACACGTCATACATGTGTAGTAAGAGAAAACCCACGTCATACTTGTGTAGTAATAGACAAGTCACGTCATACATGTGTGATTATAGACATAACGCGTCATACAGGTGTAGTAAGAGACAAAGACATGTCATACAGGTGTAGTAATAGACAAGACACGTCATACAGGTGTAGTTATAGACAAGACACGTCATACATGTGTAGTAAGAGACAAGACACGTCATACAGGTGAAGTAAGAGACAAGACACGTCATACATGTGTAGTAATAGACAAGACACGTCATACAGGTGTAGTTATAGACAAGACACGTCATACAGGTAAAGTAAGAGACAAGCTATTTCATTCAAGTGTAGCAAGAGACAAGACATGTCATACAGGTGTAGTAATAGACAAGGCACGTCATACATGTGTAGTTAGAGACAAGACACGTCATACAGGTGAAGTAAGATACAAGACACGTCATACATGTGTAGTTAGAGACAAGACACGTCATACCGGTGTAGTAAGAGACAAGACACGCCATACAGGTAAAGTAAGATACAAGACACGTCATACAGGGAAAGTAAGATACAAGACACGTCATACATGTGTAGTAATAGACAAGACACGTCATACATGTGTAGTTAGAGACAAGACACGTCATACACGTGTAGTAAGAGACAAGCTATTTCATTCAAGTGTAGTAAGAGACAAGCTATTTCATACAAGTGTAGCAAGAGACAAGACAAGTCATACAGGTGTAGTAAGATACAAGACACGTCATACAGGAGTAGTTATAGACAAGACACGCCATACAGGTAAAGTAAGATACAAGACACGTCATACAGGTAAACTCAGATACAAGACACGTCATACATGTGTAGTAAGAGACAAGACACATCATACAGGTGTAGTAAGATACAAGACACGTCATACAGGAGTAGTTATAGACAAGACACGCCATACATGTGTAGTAAGAGAAAACCCACGTCATACTTGTGTAGCAATAGACAAGTCACGTCATACATGTGTGATTATAGACATAACGCGTCATACAGTTGTAGTAAGAGACAAGACACGTCGCACATGTGTAGTAAAAGACAAGACTCGTCATACAGGTAAAGTAAGATACAAGACACGTCATACATGTGTAGTAAGAGACAAGGCACGTCATAAATGTGTAGTTATAGACAAGACACGTCATACATGTGTAGTTAGAGACAAGACACGTCATACTTGTGTAGTAATAGACAAGACACGTCATACAGGAGTAGTTATAGACAAGACACGCCATACAGGTAAAGTAAGATACAAGACACGTCATACAGGTAAGGTAAGAGACAAGCTATTTCATTCAAGTGTAGCAAGAGACAAGATACGTCATACAGGTGTAGTAATAGACAAGACACGTCATACAGGAGTAGTTATAGACAAGACACGTCATACAAGTGTAGTAAGAGACAAGACACATCATACAGGTGTAGTAAGATACAAGACACGTCATACAGGAGTAGTTATAGACAAGACACGCCATACAGGTAAAGTAAGATACAAGACACGTCATACAGGTATAGTAAGAGACAAGCTATTTCATACAAGTGTAGCAAGAGACAAGACAAGTCATACAGCTATAGTAAGAGACAAGACACGTCACACAAGTGTAGTAAGAGACAAGACACATCATACAGGTGTAGTAAGAGAAAAGACACGTCATACAAGTGTAGTAAGAGACAAGACACGTCATACAAGTGTAGTAAGAGACAAGACACGTCATACAGGTAAAGTAAGATACAAGACACGTCATACAGGTGTAGTTATAGACAAGACACGTCATACAGGTGTAGTAAGAGACAAGACACGTCATACAGGTGTAGTAAGAGACAAGCTATTTCATTCAAGTGTAGCAAGAGACAAGATACGTCATACAGGTGTAGTAAGAGACAAAGACATGTCATACAGGTGTAGTAATAGACAAGACACGTCATACAGGTGTAGTTATAGACAAGACACGCCATACATGTGTAGTAAGAGACAAGACACGTCATACTGGTGAAGTAAGAGACAAGACACGTCATACATGTGTAGTTAGAGACAAGACACGTCATACAGGTATAGTAAGAGACAAGCTATTTCATTCAAGTGTAGCAAGAGACAAGACAAGTCATACAGGTGTAGTAAGATACAAGACACGTTATACAGGTTTTTATCCTATGTAAAGGGAAATGTTAAATGACTACGTACAACATCATGGTGCTGGTCAAACAGGATGAGGATTTGTTGGTCACAGGACGTGAAATCCCAGTACAGCGAGAGGTAGTAGGCGTACACCCTAGCATCTTGGAGGATACTTTCCAGCGTGTTCGACCCGCTATAATAGACAAACACAGTGATCTCTCCAATATCCGCTAGCGTATGCATGTAAAAGCAACAAATAAACTGGTTTAGGATTTCAACTTGCATTAAAAAATGGTAACTTATGCATATTCTATTTACGAAAAAATATACTTTATACGTTGGTATCTTAATTTAACCGTAAAAATTAAATTGCCCAAAACTGCCAAAGAATGCATGTTTTCGTTTCAGACGTTGTCATTTGCTCACATGGTCCGTCGTCCGTCCGTCAACTTTTCCTTTAAAACGCTACTAGTCATGGACGACTGAGCAGAGTTTGACTAAATAAAAGGTGGGTGTGGCCCCCCTGGGGGCTGAGTGGCGGGGCCCAATAGGGGAAATATAGCAGATTCTTTAAAATCCTTCTTCTGTAGGAATGAAAGGATTTTTTCCATATTTGGTCAGAAGCTTCCTTGGGTGAAGGGGAACCAATTTTGTATAAATGGTGGGTCCGGCCCCCCTGGGGGCTGAGGGGCGGGGCACAATAGGAAAAATTTGGCAAATTCTTTAAAATCCTACTTATTCTGTGGGAATGTAAGGATTTGTTCCATATTTGGTCTGAAGCATTTTTAGGTGAAGGGAAACTAATTTTGTATGAACGGTGGGTGTGCTCCCCCCCCTTCCTGGGGGCTGAGGGGCGGGGGAAATATAGCAAATTCTTTAAAATCCTTCTTCTTCTGTAGAAATAAAAGGATTTGTACCATATTTGGTCTGGAGCATCCTTGGGTAAAGGGAAACCAATTTTGTATAAACGATTGGTGTGGCCCCCCTGGGACCTGAGGGGCTGGGCCCAATAGGGGAAATAGAGTTAAAACCTTTATAATCCTTCTTCTACCATAGGGATTAAGGGATTTTAGCCTTTAGGACGTTGGAGCATCCTTGCATGGTGATCAGGGGCATAGGGGTGGGGCTCTGTTTAAAGTTTGTTCTCGCTATATCTCCAGTACTGTATGGATCTTTCTGAAATTTTATATGTACTTACAGCACCTACCATGGAGTGCTATATCTATACTTCATTCCATTTTTTTTTAACATATTCAGGTGAGCGATACAGGCCCTCTGGGGCTCTTGTTTTTGAATGTACATTGAAATGGATGACAAAAACAATACGCATGATAATGTTAACTTAATCGTTTCGTCTTTACTTAATTTGTTAGTAAGCATACTAGACCTCGTCTGTAAAACGGGATGAGTGATGTCCTATTCGAGGTTGTTGTTAGATCACCTTTGGCAGATTCAGGCGTCGGCCCCATCACACACTGTCTTATAACAGACGTCACACCCCGTTATCCTCCCAAGGATGAATCTCTTCACTGTTCATACCCAGTTAAAGAGGCCCAGATGACATGTAACATTCACCTGGGTATTTTTGCAATCATGGAAAGTACTCTCATTCATACTAACATTGAAATATTTCCCCTTTGTTGGTTCAGTATGCATTTAATATTTGATTCATAGGCCCAAACGTCCGTAAATGACCTAAGCTGTTATTAGGACGTTATTTTTTTTTAAGCCAAAACCCATCTTAACCATAAACCCAAATGTTAGAATCGCAGCTGAGCCTGCGCACCGCGTCTAGAAATTATTCTTCCGTGATGACGCGTCAGAAAATTTGATATCTTATAATTTCATCAACAAAAATTAAATATGACATTTAAAATATGGTTCTCTATTTTGTTTCTACATAACTTGCCTGTATTGAACTATCAGCGTAAACCATCCTGTTGTATGATGGTCCTTCAATGTCGGACTATATTTCTTAATATTCCGTCAATACGTAGATTGCACAAGCTCCAGAACCTGGGACAAACTATCAGAATGGACTTCAGGAGTTACAACTATTGTAAAAACACATGTTAATTGAAATAAAAGGTTTGAATCTTGCTTTGGTCGATTTCAAAAGGGAGATTAATATAATCTTTCACACCCTTGGGGGTGAGATAGGAGAATCTCAACTCGAGGAGGAGGATTCTTAAGTTACCAAACACGAGGCTTTGCCGAGTGTTTTGCAACTTAAGAATCTTTCCCCGAGGGTTGAGATTAATATAATCTTACCCTACCTTGAGGGTGTGACAGAGAAATCTCCTACAAGAGGGATTGATTCTTGATTGTCTTAAGAAATTCGAGAATATCATCCCTCTGTTACACCCTCAAGGTAGGGGATGATTGTTTTTCTCCCATCCCGTTTCACTCTCAAATCCGCCGACAAGCGGTGATTGCATGTTTTTCCAGCAAATACATAGTTGTCTTCTACTGTTGACTTGCACGTGACGTCAATGCATTGATGAAGTGACGTAGTAATATTGTTGTGACTTGGATTGCACCATTCTGCGCGAGGTTATCTCCTGCTAGGGGGTGACAAGCTGATATTTTCCGACTTAAAAGCAAGACACACATGTGAAGGGTGAGAGAAGAACTGATTCTGTGAAGGGTGAGAGAAGAGCTGATCCTGTGAAGGGTGGGAGAAGAGCTGATCCTGTGAAGGGTGAGAGAAGAGCTGATCCTGTGAAGGGTGAGAGAAGAGCTGATCCTGTGAAGGGTGAGAGAAGAGCTGATCCTGTGAAGGGTGGGAGAAGAGCTTATCCTGTGAAGGGTGAGAGAAGAGCTGATCCTGTGAAGGGTGAGAGAAGAACTGATTCTGTGAAGGGTGGGAGAAGAGCTGATCCTGTGAAGGGGGAGAGAAGAACTGATTCTGTGAAGGGTGGGAGAAGAGCTGATCCTGTGAAGGTTGGGAGAAGAGCTTATCCTGTGAAGGGTGAGAGAAGAGCTGATCCTGTGAAGGTTGGGAGAAGAGCTTACCCTGTGAAGGGTGAGAGAAGAGCTGATCCTGTGAAGGTTGGGAGAAGAGCTTATCCTGTGAAGGGTTAGAGAAGAGCTGATCCTGTGAAGGGTGAGAGAAGAGCTGATTCTGTGAAGGGGGAGAGAAGAGCTGATCCAGTGAAGGGTGAGAGAAGAGCTGATCCTGTGAAGGTTGGGAGAAGAGCTTATCCTGTGAAGGGTTAGAGAAGAGCTGATCCTGTGAAGGGTGAGAGAAGAGCTGATCCTGTGAAGGTTGGGAGAAGAGCTTACCCTGTGAAGGGTGAGAGAAGAGCTGATCCTGTGAAGGGTGGGAGAAGAGCTTATCCTGTGAAGGGTGAGAGAAGAGCTGATCCTGTGAAGGTTGGGAGAAGAGCTTACCCTGTGAAGGGTGAGAGAAGAGCTGATCCTGTGAAGGGTGGGAGAAGAACTGATCCTGTGAAGGGTGGGAGAAGAGCTGATCCTGTGAAGGGTGGGAGAAGAGCTGATCCTGTGAAGGTTGGGAGAAGAGCTTACCCTGTGAAGGGTGAGAGAAGAGCTGATCCTGTGAAGGGAGAGAGAAGAGCTGATCCTGTGAAGGGTGGGAGAAGAACTGATCCTGTGAAGGGAGAGAGAAGAGCTGATCCTGTGAAGGGTGGGAGAAGAACTGATCCTGTGAAGGGTGGGAGAAGAGCTGATCCTGTGAAGGGTGAGAGAAGAACTGATTCTGTGAAGGGTGGGAGAAGAGCTGATCCTGTGAAGGTTGGGAGAAGAGCTTATCCTGTGAAGGGTGAGAGAAGAGCTGATCCTGTGAAGGGAGAGAGAAGAGCTGATCCTGTGAAGGGTGGGAGAAGAACTGATCCTGGGAAGGGAGAGAGAAGAGCTGATCCTGTGAAGGGTGGGAGAAGAGCTTATCCTGTGAAGGGTGAGAGAAGAGCTGATCCTGTGAAGGGTGGGAGAAGAGCTGATCCTGTGAAGGGTGGGAGAAATTTATACCTATGTTTCTGTCTCAGATTACGGGAGAAGCATGCCATTCAACCTTATGATTCTTTAGATAATGATATTTGATGATTATAACGTTTATAGGAGAACAAATATATAGCACTCCAACTCAAGGTACGTACTGACAAGATATAAGGTCCAAATGTGTCTTTCATTTTTCAGGAAGAAGCCGTTCTTACTTGATAATTCGTCTCATCTGTGGCATGAGTGCCACCATGATGACGTAACCACTGTTGTCCGTCCGACACTTTTGGCAGCCACATGAGGTAGTCCTCTCTGTCATCTTCAGCAGGGCGTCTATAGCGGACGCTGAAAGCCAATCATAATAAGTTTATTTACAGAAAACATAACACATATACATCATTTGATACCTTTACAGAAATGTACTGAATGTTTCACCGTACTTGATATTTGTTAACTATAATTATGCACCATTTCTATACATAATGTTTTAGTTGAGAATTTAGCCATTGACACATAGATTAAATACGACGGTTTGAATTCAACTCCCAGCGTCCATTGGAACTAGCTAGGTATTACACCTGCGTGGTCATTTGTTACAGCTATATATGGACCTAAACTAAGGTGTTCAGAGTAATTTTACATGTTTTAGGGGTTTAGATCAATTTGCGGTCGAAATGCCAACCCTAGTGATACATACGAGAGAGATGAAAAGCTCGCAATGTTAAAAATCAACCCCACTAATCAAAAGTTGGTGTACAGAAAAAGCTTAGTGCCGTTCGAAAGTGTGGCAGGGCCTTTGTAGTTTGCAAAAGAAAGAAAGAAAAAAGATCAGATCGTGGTAAGCACGTAACATTATAAGCGTTGTGCTATAATATACTCTAATGTAAGTAAAACACTGATGACGTCATACCGTCATCCGATGAGATGATGTTGTTGGGGTCACAAATCCAGGACTCGGTGACCTCGGAGTGACGTCCACACCTGGTGGGTTCATACCGAGGGTCGGGGAAGGACACCACATTCCACACCGTTTGTGACTGCACTTCCACACAGACAGACAGCACGCCCAGCACACATGCCCAGTACAACCCAGAACCCATTGTAATAAGTATTCGTCGTTAGGTGATCAAATCTAAAAAGATAATACAAGACCAATGGTGTTTAGTGCAGCAAGATTAGACCAATGAATCATAAATGGTGCGTTGTCGGGAAAATATCGTAAATGTAAAGCAATGTTGCCAAATTATTTTAACATACAGGAAAATGTCCTTCCATGTACAATGGGAGGTGAAACACTGAAATGTTAGAGTTGTGTGAAAGATGTCGGTGTGCAAATTTCACCAATTGTTAACTTCAATGATCAAGTTTAGAAAGTAACACAGGTAACTCAAACGTTTGGTTTCCTGAAAGGTACATGCAGAAATTATACTGATCTCTATGGCATATGCTCTTTATATGTTTGTATGAAATAGATATGCCTGTGGAATATAGTGTCCTTATTAACGGAGGCTGCGGTTTGTGGAATTTTATCCAAATGTTTCTTGATATACATTTGAAAATGTTGAAACATGGCAAACGTTTTGTCGTCTACAATAATGTTATTAATCTATTTAAACTTTGATTTATTGAATAGTTTTCTTTTTGACAGCAACTGTTTGAAAATGTATTGCAATTACAGCCGCTCCAAGGAAAAACCAAAAAGTTTGTAAACAGTCAACAGTCAAACTGTTCGTATTTATTATCCCAAAACTTCACAGGATATTTAACTTCTTTGAAACAATTAATCTGCATTTAATGATTTCCAATGACCTTTAATTCCTGTACAATGACATCTTGTTTCTGTACCATGACCTCATGTACCATGACCACATGAACCATGACCTTTAATTAATGTATCATGACCTTTAATTCCTGTACCATGACCTTTAATTCCTGTACCACGACCTTAAATTCCTGTACAATGACATTTTGTTTCTGTACCATGACCTCGTGTACCATGACCACATGTACCATGACCTTTAATTACTGTATCATGCCCTTTAATTCCTGTACCATGACCTTTAATTCCTGTACCATGACATATAATTCCTGTACCACGACCTTAAATTCCTGTACAATGACATGTCGTTTCTGTACCATGGCCTCATGTACCAAGACCTTTAATACCTGTATCATGCCCTTTAATTCCTGTACCATGACCTTTAATTCCTGTATCATGCCCTTTAATTCCTGTACCATGACATATAATTCCTGTACCATGACCTTTAATTCCTGTACCATGACATTTGATTCCTGTACCACGACCTTTAATTCCTCTACCACGACCTTTAATTCCTGTACCATGACCTTAAATTCCTGTACCACGACCTTTAATTCCTCTACCACGACCTTTAATTCCTGTACAATAACATTTTGTTACTGTACCATGACCTCGTGTACCATGACCTCATGTACCATGACCTTTAATTCCTGTATCATGCCCTTTAATTCCTGTACCATGACATTTGTTTCCTCTACCACGACCTTTAATTCCTGTACCATGACCTTTGATTCCTGTATCATGCCCTTTAATTCCTGTACCATGACATTTAATTCCTGTACCATGACCTTAAATTCCTGTACCACGACCTTTAATTCCTGTACAATGACATTTTGTTTCTGTTCCATGACATCATGTACCATGCCCTTTAATTCCTGTACCATGACATTAAATTCCTGTACCATGACCTTTAATTCATGTACCATGACCTTTAATTACTGTACCACGACCTTTAATTCATGTATAATGACATTTTGTTTCTGTACCATGACCTCATGTACCATGACCTTTAATTCCTGTATCATGACCTTTAATTCCTGTACCATGACCTTCATTTCCTGTACCATGACCTTTAATTCCTGTACCATGACCATTAGTTCGTGTACCATGCTCTGTAATTCCTGTACATTGACCTTTAACTCCTGTAAAATGACATTAAATTCCTGTACGATGACCTTTAATTCCTGTATCATGCCCTTTAATTCCTGTACCATGACCTTTAATTCCTGTATCATGCCCTTTAATTCCTGTACAATGACATTTTGTTTCTGTACCATGACCTTTAATTCCTGTACAATGACATTTTGTTTCTGTACCATGACCTCATGTACCATGATCTTTAATTCCTGTACCATGACCTTCAATTCCTGTACCATGACCTTCATTTCCTGTACCATGACCCTAAATTCCTGTACAATGACCTTTAATTCCTGTACCGTGACCTTTAATTCCTGTATCATGCCCTTTAATTCCTGAACCATGACCTTAGATTCCTGTATCATGCCCTTTTATTCCTGTACCATGACCTTTAATTCCTGAACCATGACCTTTAGTACCTGTACCACGACCTTTAATTCCTGTTCCATGACCTTAAGTTCCTTTACATGACCTTTAATTCCTGTACCATGACCTTCATTTCCTGTACCATGACCTTTAATTCCTGTACCATGACCATTAGTTCGTGTACCATGCTCTGTAATTCCTGTACATTGACCTTTAACTCCTGTAAAATGACATTAAATTCCTGTACCATCACCTTTAATTCCTGTATCATGTCCTTTAATTCCTGTACCATGACCTTTAATTCCTGTATCATGCCCTTTAATTCCTGTACAATGACATTTTGTTTCTGTACCATGACCTCATGTACCATGATCTTTAATTCCTGTACCATGACCTTTGATTCCTGTATCATGCCCTTTAATTCCTGTACCATCACCTTTAATTCCTGTATCATGACCTTAAATTTCTGTACCACGACCTTTAATTTCTGTACCACGACCTTTAATTCCTGTACAATGACATTTTGTTCCTGTACCATGACCTTCAATTCCTGTACCATGACCTTCATTTCCTGTACCATGACCCTAAATTCCTGTACAATGACCTTTAATTCCTGTACCGTGACCTTAGATTCCTGTATCATGCCCTTTTATTCCTGTACCATGACCTTTAATTCCTGTACCATGACCTTTAGTACCTGTACCACGACCTTTAATTCCTGTTCCATGACCTTAAGTTCCTTTACATGACCTTCAATTCCTGAACCATGACCTTTAGTTCCTGTACCATGATCTGTAATTCCTGTACAATGACCTTTAACTCCTGTACAATGACATTTTGTTCTGTACCATGACATCATGTACCATGACCACATGTACCATGACCTTTAATTCCTGTATCATGCCCTTTAATTCCTGAACCATGACCTTAAATTCCTGTACCATGACCTTTAATTCCTGTTCAAGACCTTTAATTCCTGTACCATGACCTTTAGTTCCTGTACCACGACCTTTAATTCCTGTATCATGCCCTTTAGTTCCTATACCATGACCTTAAATTCCAGACCATGAGCTTTAATTCCAGTACCATGACCTTAACTTCCTGTACCATAACCTTCAATACCTGTACCATGAACTTACCCTAGAAGTAGAAGAAGAATTTCAATTTTCCCCCTCTTTTTCCCCTATTTGGCCCAAGGAGGCAACACCCACAGTTTATACAAAATTGAGTCCCCTTGGATGCTCCAGACTAAATCAATATAGAATCCCTTCATCCCTATGGCAGAAAAAGGATTTTAAAAGGTTAACCTTTATTTTCCCTATTCGGCCCGACACTTCTGCCCCCAGGGGGCCACACCTACTGTTTATTCAAAATTGAGTCCTCTTGACCCAAAGATGTTCCAGACCAAATTAGGATAAAATCCCTTAATCCCTATGGAAGAGGAAGGATTTCAAATGTGTTTACCTCTCTTTCCCCTATTCGGCCCACCCCTCTACCCCGGGGTGGCAACACCCACCCTTCATACAAAGATAAGTCTCCTTGGCTCAAGGATGCTCCATACCAAATTAGGATAAAATCCCTTAATCCTTACGGTAGAAGAAGGATTTTCAAAGGTTTTTACCTCTATTTCCCCTATTGGGTCCCTTACCTCTGCCCCCAGCAAGTCAACACCCACCGTTTATACAAAATTGCGTTCCATTGACCCAAGGATGCTCCAGACAAAATTGAGATAATATCCCTTAATCCCTGTGGAAGAAGAAATATTTTAAAGTTTTACATTTATTTCCCCTATTCGGCCACACAACTCTGACCCAAGGGGGTAAAAACCCACCGTTTATACAAAATTGAGTCCCCTTGGACCAAGGATGCTCCAGACCAAATTAGGATAAAATCCCTTAATCCCTACGGTAGAAGAAGGATTATAAAGGTTTACCTCTCTTTCCCCTATTTGGCCCCACCACTCTGCCCCCAAGGTGGCCACGTCCACCGTTTATACAAAATTGAGTCCTCTTGGCCCAAGGATGCTATGTTATAGGAAAATTGGAAGCACTTTTCAATTGCTAGCCGATAACTGTCGTTTGAAGATTACAGAGAAGGGAAACCCGACTCCAAAGGACAGACAATTTTACCGTTATACGAGCGCGCGATTCTTTTGACATACTGAGCATTTCATTTTTATGACATAATCCTCGGGTGCAGAGAGCGGAAGTTTATTAAAGCGCTCAACAAGGTTGGGTAATCGTGGATCTATGACAATTACTACGTGTTTAGTAGCGTGACCTACTTACCTGTCATTGTCAACAACAACTTATGAGAGTCGGAATTCAACTGTGTCGGTTCCAAGATGTGTCTGCTGTATTATTGTCAAAATTAGGAGTTCGAGGAAGGCTGTTATCAATTTTGAAANTATTAGTTTCTATGCTATCTCCGTCACGGATGACCCCATCTCGCCTCGCCTACATTTATTTGTCAGGTCAGTTTTCTTTACAAGCGTTCATGTACGTACTAGTCACGGATCGTTCAGTTATGTTTTGACTGTTTCAAGCATTTATTGAATATGCTGGTAGACACTTTTAGTTAGTATTATTAAGAGAAGGGGTATGTTTTGTGTAATTATTGTATTTTAAGAGTAAGTGTAAGTTTTATGACATAATGTAACTTTTGATTATTTTAAAATGATTTTTACCATTATGGTCCCTTTACAAACAATATGCAATGTAAAAGTGGAAACACCTAATGTTGTACGTTTATCCCCATTTAAGAAATAGATTGATTTTCACCATAATAAAAGAACAAATAATATAACCATTTGTTACATTACCAGTGAAATATAAGTATATCAGTGTGATATATACTTGTGTCCGTCACTGTAGAGAATGTATACGAGATGTTAGATCGTTTAAGGTTCAGTATCGATTTTATATTGACCTATCAAAATGGTATTTTCTATTTACTGCTGCAGATATTTTTTTTAAACTCTTAAGTACTGAGAAACATATATCTTCGAGGGTAAAAACTCTCAATAATAAGACGTGTTTGTTAGCTAACACAGTATTCTTTATGGCTATGAAAACTATAGACTATCAGTGTTTCCTTGGTGTAATATGTTATCTTTTAACTTGTATATAACTACAATCTGTACCTAGTGATGAACTACTCACGGAGACCTGGTCACACCTAGGCTTATGTTATGTATGTAATGTTTCCTAGTTTGAAAACGTAAACTTATTTAATTAAACATGTTAACTCTTGCATTAGATATCCAGGTATTGTAGAAAAAACAATCGTAATCGTGTAATTTATGAAGATGTTTTAAGCTGAAACAAAATTTAAAGTTGGGGTACGCTCATTTCAAAGCTAAAGATAATGATTAATTTTGTGTATACATGTATATATAAATATCAGGAAGATCAACGTAAGGTCTGTCATCTCAGACGGTCAGGAGTTTCATAGAACCTGAAGACAGATTATCATATAACTAGTTATTATTATTTGAAATGAAACATGCAAAAAAGATAACCATGTTGCTATTAAGTGATCAGACTGTGTACAGCGTTCAGACAGCTACGCGCCTCAATGTCATGTTTCTTTATAGATAATGTCAACATCTTCTCACATTATGTTGACGTCTTTTGAAAATCATGTCGACATATGTTACGTCGATGACAGAAATATGTCATCTTACTATGCATGAGTCTCCCGGTTTCAAACCTCAGAACACCCATCTCCCGTGTTGACATATTCCGACATTGATCTGACTATCATTACATATTTCTTTCGCCCCAAACTTGATATATTTTTAGTTGCTGAAGGGGAAACAGGCGGACTACACGTCGGTTGATATTAAACAGTGTCCTACTGTTTTGTTTGTTTGTTTGGGTGGTTTTACGTCCGCTTCACTACCGAGGAGCAGTGTAGAGGTCGGAGGTATATATAGAACCCGGTGTGTAAGAGGAGATGCTTACTCAGTGGGATACTCACTACAAGCTGTGCGATGTTAAGTTATATTTCCCTTCCACATTCCTCACGAGTATGTCAGGACAATCATTATATGAAATCAGTCTAATATCTGTAACGTTATAAATCATATCGGGATAAGAAAACAACAAAACGCAATTAGAAAGTCTAATAAAAGTAGAACCGATGTGTTGATGGAACTGAGTGAGAACGAAGGAGGGGTTTGAGAAATGGCGAGCGGGATGGGATAATAGACTACATGCGGAGTCATCGACTCCTATACGACTTTTTTATACATATTACGCCGTAAGTATCAAATGATATATCAAAGACATTCAATGAAGCTCTCTATAGTACCTTAATCAGTCTTTAAATAAAAACTAGACAAGACTTACCAGCTTGGTTCCTTGTTCGTGGTATTCGGCGGTCACCGGAAGTATGAAATACTAGAAACCCATTTGAAACACTACACCCTTCGTACCGGATGCTGAGTTTTGTTGGAGAGGAGGCTGCGTCACTAATGGGATAAACGCTTCCCTGACAACCAGTAACACATTGTTAATATTTTTCGTTCCCGTCATCGTTACCATGTTATACCAGAGCTACACCATGTAATGTTACCGACAATAGTTATAACAGAGCTACACCATGTTATGTTA